ATGTGACGCCCCTGAAAGTACTGAGATGAAGCTTCTTTCACCCTAGCAGAAAAAGGCAGGAAGTTAGGAATCAAGTTGGCAATTAAGGAGATTTTATTTATCGCATGCTTGAGTTTTGGACTAGGTGTGTCCCCAACCTACTCTAATACCCTTTCCCTGGCGGGCAAAGCTTAGCAGGGGAGCTAGAGATTTGTGCCTCTTCTTTTGTTTTGGTCACTCTCTGTACCCATGCCACCCTGAGAAAGACCAAATGTGGGTGGATCTAGCAAAGCCCCTGGGACAGAGCCCAAAGTGATTAACATGTGAAAATTCCCACCCTGATCTGCTAAGAAAAAGTTACCTTTTGAAAGAAAAGAATCATAGAAAAAAAAAAAAAAAGGTCCAGAAAAGGGATAAGGATGGGCAGGAAAAGTTAAGAGTTCTGGGGGCTGTGAATGGGTCAAGACCCAGAGGCCAGAGACAGTTTGGCTAGTTGGAAAATATCCAGTATTTAGAATGGCTGGTGTATTGGGATGAGGTGAGGAACTGAAAGCAGAGGAAGGAGAAGGATGTGAAAGATGTTTTTCTGTGTGTTAAGAGTGTATCTCTGCCCCCTTTCCTTTGGCATTTCTTCCCAAGATTGAGGAAATATTTGAAATACTTTTCCTTTATTGTGATCATTGGCTATTTGAACGTGACTGTGCTGGACCACAAGGCTGACTGTTTTCATAAGTAGGTTTACTCCTTCCCTCCCCAAACCTAGACTTGCACTGAGGCCTGATCATGGGGAGCTGACGAGCTGGGTTCGTCCTTTCTCTGATGTAATAATTTTAACTTAGGCCAAGTTCCTGGAGGGCAGCAAAGGTAGGTTGGGATCCTTGATGTAGTCTTGGACCCATTTGTTGTCAGGGTTGGCACAGACTTCTCGGTTCTTTTTGGTGAGGAAGCTGTGGAGGCAGAGTTAGACTGTCACGGGCTGCAGAGTAGGGTAGGGGTCCAGATCACACTCTCCCACCTCTGGCTCACATGGGCCTCACCTCACGTCCTTTAAGGCCTCCCTAGGCCTCCCCTGTCTGGGTCTCCTCAGAAGGCCTCCCTCTCTGGCCTTGAGACTTTATCATCTCTTCACTCAGTCCCTTCCCCACTCAACCTGGACCCTCAGTCTTGGGTTTCATAGTGGCTGCCATTTATTGGGTCACACAGCTATAAGTGGCAAAATCAGGAATTAAACCCATGCCTGGCCTTGAGACTTTATCATCTCTTCACTCAGTCCCTTCCCCACTCAACCTGGACCCTCAGTCCTGGGTTTCATAGTGGCTGCCATTTATTGGGTCACACAGCTATAAGTGGCAAAATCAGGAATTAAACCCATGCCTCTGTAATTCAAAGCCCAAACCCTTAGCCACTACTCCACTGCTTCTAGCATGGAGACCTCTTGGTTCTGTGTATCCCATTCCTGCCCCCAGGTTTCCCTTTCCTCTTTACAGAAATATCTGCAGAGAAGTGCTTACATGATTGCTGGTGGGTGACAGTTGAGGGTGTTTCTGTATCCCACCACCAGCTTCCTTGGTAGTACTTTCTCAGAAAACTTCAGGCAGCAGTTGGATGGAAGATTCACTGACTCAGGAATTTCTGAAGGAATCACATTGCAAGCTGAGCCAGGGAGGCAGAGAGGGAGACCACAGCTGCCCCCCTCTGTCTCCCATCAATTGCATTCCACTCCTGTGATAGCAAAGCCATCTGTTACCAGGGACTGTGACAGCTTGATGGGTAATAGAGAAAGTGAAAAAGATGAACCCCTCCGGGGGACACACATGTAGAAGCTTCAGCCTCTGAATGAGGGTCATCAAGTACAGATGACGTAGCTACTCACATTTGTCCATGAACCAGGAGGGAGCTTGCTGACTCTGTCTACTCACGACTTGATTTGGCAAACATGTATTGAGCTCATGTTACATGCTAGGATTATGGTAAGAATTAGTTGAGAAAATGCTTTCAAAGCCCTTAACTCAGAGCCTGGCACACCGAAATCCTCAGTCAATGCTTATTATAATTAAGAACAAATAGTAGTAATGAACACTCTTCTTGCCTTGGAAATGGCTCTTTTTTTCCTCTTTGATGTTTGCAGGATGCTGGACTTGATTGGTTGTTGTTGATATGTTTCCCTTGAGCTCCCCTGACTACTCATCTGCTGGGGAAACTACACAGGAGGTCAAGCCAGAGGCTGCCCCCAGCCCCCAAACCTGCAGAGTACAAGTCCCTCTGTAGCCTGATCCCTTGTCTCCAGCTAGTGGCAAAGCTTGTGGGCCATTTTCTCTTTCTTGAAGCCTGAGCCCACTGCACTGGCCTGATTGGCCATTGTTGCTCCCTCCACCCACCAGACACACAGAGTCCCTCCATAAGTGACTCTACACACAGTCCCTTTGTAAGTGACATTCGTGTGCTTGGATCTCAAAGCAAAGTTTACAAAGACCAGGGTCATCCTGAGAGTATGTGGGCAGATTACATGATGCACCTGGCCCTTGCTCCCCTGAGTGTTTACACAGGCAGTCAGGCCAGACTGCACGCTCAGGGTAAGAAAGAAAGGCTGGGGCAGCTAAAGGCAGGTACGTGGAAAGGTTGTGTGTCTTCATCTCTCCTCTTTCACCAGATCCTCATAAATGATGGTGGAGACAGGGGATAGGAAGTGATCAAAACAAACCCAATTCTCCACAGGTGCCAATTTCCCCTCTCCACACAGTTCAAATCTGTTCAACCCCTTTTCTCTTTTCTGCAGACCTTATCTAGTCTTAGGCTGGGAGATGGAGATGGGGCCCATTGATCCCCAAACAACACACTTGGCCATCCCATTGGGATTCATTTTGGCTGTCTAATGGTCCCAGTGATCCATGCCAGCCACTGTGAGGAAGAGGTGTCTAGGTTCGGACTCCCCAAGTGATCGCGTCAGTCTGCTTCTCCCAACTCATCCTCCCAGAGCATCCACTGCTTTTCTCATTCACCCACGTCCCCTCCCCTTCATTACACGCATTTATGATTGCATTTTCTGCTACTTCGTTGGCTCCTCCTCCTGAATGATCATTCCTGTTTTCCATCCTTGGGACTCCCGAGGAAGCCTTGACCCAGATTCCTGGAACTACTCAACTCCAGAAGGATCTGGACCAAGCCCAGCTCTACTTACAGAGGGGAGAATTTGAGGACAGCAGCTGTCACCTCTCTGGCAGCTTCCCTGTTCCCCTTTCTCATTCCTGCCCTGCAGGGACAAGTGGACTCACTTGACTGACTGTAAGAAGCAGAAGCAGTGGTGGTGAGGATGAGGATGAGGAGAAAGAGGGCCGCCACGGAGACCTTCATCCTCTCAGTGGGGCAGTACAGCCTCAGCGGAGAGCCGAGCGGAGATGGCTTCCTTGCTGGTTGTTCACTCTCCTGCTGCTCAGCCCTCTGGACTCTGACCGCTTCAGAGTTGGTGGAGGAGGAGAAACAACGGACCTCGATGTTTGCTGAAAGGGAGGGCAGTGGAGGACGGGGCCCAGCCCAAAGCAGAATTTGGTAACGTCTGAATTTGTGTGAAGGAATAAATTGGAGAAGGAATGTGTGGTGAATGTGCACTGTGTCAGCCACCTTGCATGCCCAATTTTACTTAATCCTCAAGACAGTGAAGTAGCGATTATTACTCTGCTGAGGCCATGGAGGCTTAGAGAGGTTAAATAAATTGTCTGAGGTCACACAGGAAGGAGGTGGATAGGCAGTACTGAAAACCAGATCCGTTTGATTTGACCATGTTACCTGCCGCCATCTCAGTGTTGGGGAAGGGGGAGGAAGGGTTGAACTGCCCCAGGTGACTGGTCTCTGGGAGGGTGAGAATAAAGCAGGATTAGAGAGAGCACAGACTGAGGCAAAGGTAGGGTTTAGTGGTCTCGGAGAGGGATATCCCCCATCGCTAGTCCAAGGACACGTTATTGAACTCACTCTTTCATGTCACAGATTATGCTAACACTCTGAAAAAATAATGTGCCTGATCCTTGGGTCCAGCTTGTAGCTGATGTGTTTGGTTAATTTGTAGATGCTTTTATTTATCTCTTTGGACCTTGGACTCTGGATTGATTTCTAGGTGTAGCTGGCTGATCCTTTCTGTGTGCCCGCTGTACAGTGTTGTCCAACTCTGCCACTGTGGCCAATCATCACCAGCAGAGGGCGCTCCAACGCTGTGCTCCTGACAACCTACTTCTGTGGTCCAGAGAGTTCCGGCTTCTGCCCCGCTGGCCTGGGCTCTGGCTGGGCCTACCTCACAGCATCATCTCTCTTTCGAATTGCCTCAGGGCCCCTTTCCACTTTGAAGGCAGCTTTCAGAGAAGAGATGGAAGATATGGGGGATTTTGTGGTTGATGGACTGTGAACTCTAGAGGCACAGGGGATGTGTTTCAGAGGTTGAGAGTAGTGGGAGGCAGGGGCATAAGAGGGAATGTGCAGATCTTGCTTGGCACGAGCGCTCATAAATAGGCAAAACATATAATGCAGTTAGTCCTGCTGGGCTCGAGGCAGTTAGTGGTGGTGAAGTTGTGGCCTTTTGTGAGGGTAGGTAAGCTATGTATGTGGGGCGCCCCCCGACCTCTGTTTATGGAGGTGAGGAAGTCTGAGGAAGCCTGGGTGTACCTTTAGCATGCAGGCCCCCTCTTGGCCCTTGCCTTGGCCCACAATCCCTTGTCTGTGGAAGGCTGGAGGCCAGCGGAGAGTGGTCATAGTCTCTACATTGGGCATGCTCCTAATCCAAGCACACAGAGCTCCTCCTTGAGCACTGGAGGTGGGGCTCACAGCCTATTCTTGGAGCATAGGCCCTGTCTCGATTCCTGTCTTATTCCATCAGCTCCAGCCAGAAAGCCCGCAGGTTGCCCCTCAGCTGCCTCTCCCTGTGTAGACATACCTGGGAGGCACCATGGGGGTCCCCATTCGTCCATCCATCCATCCACCTATCCATCTATCCATTTCCTGAGCAGCTGGTATGGGCCAGGCTTTCTGCTAGGCCTTATGTGCAACAGAAAAATGAGTAAAACAGTATCGTACGACCTGGTGTATGTAAGTGGAGGGGGAAGGATTTGCTGAAATGTGTCTATGAATCATTCTTATCCCAGAGAGCAGTGATGAAAGGCCTTGGGAAGAGCACAGAGAAAAGGACTGTAGAGCTTGACTGTTATGGAGAAGCCTTTATGAAGACTTACCTGTAAAATCAGAGGATGATTCTTAGCTTTTACGCTTGATGTGAAGCTTATATAAGATAATTCATATAGGCAGCTTAGCAGAGTGTGTAGAATGTAGAAAGCACTAAGACACTAAGAAAATGGCACCTGTTCAGGAAGTGGCCTTTACGCTGCGTTTCCTTCTCACTCTCTGCTCAGTTTCTCGCTACCTCCATTGCAGGTCTGACTCATTGTTTTGCACCAGACTCTGAAACTTCTCTAGAGAAAGGGGGCGCCACACCCGGGCTGGGCTCCCTGATGTCCTCGGTCCACTGCCAGTGAGTAAGTTTAGTAGAATTGAATGAGGGCAGAGAAGACATGAATGGTCTTTAATGCAAGGCAGGGCAGCTCCCAGGGGGTTGCTGGGGCCAAAAGCTGGGGGTGGGAGGGGGCCTTAGCCTCTTCTCTTTAGTCTCTGAGCTGCGCCCTTCTCCACTACTTCTGGGTCACTCAGTTCTCCTCCAGGTCTTTGATGTAGTCCTGGACCCACTTGTCACTGGGGTTGGTACAGATGGAATGGCCCTTTTTGGTGAGGAAGCTGTGGAGCAAGAGGGAGAAGGATTACAAACCTAGAGGTGCAGCAGCAGGAAGAGAAAGGCTGTCCTCTCTCCCTCCCAAATTTTCCACCTCAACCTGGACTGTTTCTCCTTCCTTTATTAGAGGCAGCTCAGGGCCAGTCGCCTCTCTCAGACATGCTGTTTATACCCTAAAACTCCTAGACCCATCTAGTCTGTGTGTCCCCCCAAGGAGATGCCCTTCCCCTGATGCCTCCCATCCATGGGGCCAGCTTCCACATGGCTTCCTGCATGCTCCAGCCAGAAAGCCCCAGGTTGCTCCTCAGCTGCCTCGCCCTGTGTAGACATGCCTGGGAGGTGCTGTGGGGGTCCCCATCCTCCCTGTCCCCCAGGCCCTGCTGGCTCCCTCTCCCCCAGTGTGGTGTGTGGGTGCCACCTACACAACGCCGGGTTTGGAGCACTGGCCACTGGTCTCATAATAATCCGTAATCCAGCGACGCGGGAGTGCGTGGGTAATGTAGGAGAAGCAGCACGCCGTGGGGTGGTAAGGTCCTCCTGCGGAGAAAGCGTGAGGGAACCTGTCGAAGGTGACACTACTGGCTGCTTCTGCAACCCCATAGGGCGGAAGAGGAAAAGAAGGAGGAGATAGCCCTGCTGATCTCAGAGAGTGGACTTTGGAGAAGCTCAGTCTTTTCTTCTCCCTCTCCAGGGTACTCCTTAGCTCCTCTTCCCTCCTCCTTCATCAGCAACCACCCTCCTTCCTTTTCTTCACCCCCTTCTGGAAAGACTGACTGGCTGATGACTTTCAACTGTGGATTGAAGAGCAGCAAACCCGGATCTCCTCATTGAGCACACACCATTCCTGGGGTGTCGACTGGCAGAGAAGGCTAGTGACCTGCTCAAGGTCCTACAAACTGCATGCTTTATTTGGGAAAGATTCTCCAATGAGGAGGATATTTGGAATAAATCCTAGTGAAGATTGGGAGACATGCCACTTGGGAATGCAGACCCAACCCTCCCGGTCCCCCATCCTGCTCATGTCCCCACTGAACCCATAGCCTGCCGAGAGGGAAGGATGCCCACACCACGACCTGAGGACAATGGCCTTGGAATCAGGACACCCAAATTCTAGCCTGACCTCACCTTTGCTTTCTTTGTGCTGTGACCATTTAACTTTCACTCATAGTTTCCTTCTCTGGAAATGAGGCTTTTGGACCAGGTCAGTGGTTTTTACACTGAACTCCCTGGGGCTCTGGGTGCTGCAGGGACTGTCTTGCTGCATAGGACAGCGATATCTTGGGGATTGCACTCCACTCAGCCCTTTTTTCTGATTTACATATTGGGCCTCTATGGAAGGCTTTGCTTGAAGAAAAGTTTTCATGGTCTAAAAAGTTTTAAAAATCTCTGGATTAAGTGATTTCTCAATTTTTTTTTTTTTTTAAGATGACCAGTAAGGGGTTCTTAACCCTTGACTTGGTGTTGTCAGCACCACGCTCTCCCAAGTGAGCCAACCGGCCATCCCTGTATAGGGATCCAAACCCATGGACTTGGTGTTATCAGCACCACACTCTCCCAAGGGAGCCATGGGCTGACGCTCAATTATTTTCTGACTGTGAAATTTCATAATTTCATGGTTCTCATAGGAGATGCAAGGGGGTGACAGCGAAGTCACCCCAAGCTTGGATCATGGAGATAGTGGGAAGAGTGTTGCAGGCCACAGCAAGGCCCTGTACAAACAAGGACATGCTGTGGTTACAGAATGGAAGAATCAGGTGTGTGCATGTTGTCTGACCAACCCGGACAGAAATATGGATATGTGTCACGATGGCCTTGGAGGTCACCGAGGGTGGCCAGATGCCTGGGTGGAAAGGGACAGACCTGGCCTGTTACCCAGCACTGTTCCAGGCATCATCCTCACTATCCAGAGAATGGAATGCCAGACCCGTTGGTCCCCAAGATCCACTCAGGGCTCTGAGTCTCCATCTTGTTCCTCTGAGTTGACAAATGGCTTTTCAGAGAGGCAAATCAAACTGCCCAGATTTCCATTATCTCTAGACTAGCTTTATTTCAATGACCTTCTATGTTCCCATCAGTTTCTGAAAAGGAAACATGGTAAAACGGAAGGGAGAGGAGTAGCTGTGGTTGTCTGCAAAGGCAGCTCATCCTAAGGGCTCCCATCCTAAGGTGGCCTAGGCAGGACCCCACACTGCTGTGTTTCCCCAGCTCATACCCAAGCAGTACCACACTCACAGCATGGTGGGGATGCCAGGCCCTCATCTCAGCAGGACAGTAGACAAAATGGCCTTGAGGGGCTACAGCCACCGCTCTGCAATCTCCCAGAGGATACTGCCCCCCAGATGGAGTCAGCCACTCTTTTGCATAATGGCAAAGAGAGGAATTGAGGGAGTGGAGAGGCAGGCTGGCCTCACTCCATGCCTCGAGGAAGCGGGACTAGTCCTGTGGAGGGTGAGGATGAAACCCATTTAAGAAGACACCAGACCACCTCCTTCTAGATTCCCTCCTCATCTCCCCAGCCACCTTACTTCTGCTTATTTCCCCACAGGGCCTAGGTTGGAAGGAAGACAAGGTGTTGCACTCACGTGAGGAGGATCCAGCCTCAGCCCCTAGGGCAACGGTGGTGATAATGAGGAGGAGGAGGAGAGAGGAGATGGCAGCCACGGAGACCTTCATCCTACCAGAGCCCATGCAAGAGGAGAGCCGGCCTGGTGGGGGTTCTGGGGCTCCTGGGTGAGGAAGTGTTGAGAAATGATCACTGAGGCAAAATTTTTTTTTTAAATAAGGGAACTAAGATTTTGAAGGGAAGTAGAAAAGCAGCGGATGCCTCAGCGATTTCATGTCCTGCACATTTGCTGAGGGTGGCGGAAGGAAGCACTAGGAACCAAGACTTAAGGGAGGAGATTGTCTTCCATCCCCAGTGGGAGTAAGTTTAACTCCTTTATGCTAGCCCTTCCTTAGGTGTAGACCGCGAGCACAAGGGTTGGGCGCAGTGTCTCAGACTTAGCAAAAGGCCTCAAGGCTAGGATGTGTCTTGTGTCCAGTTCTAATTCCAGGCCTCAGAACAAGGCCATATAAACAGAGAATCCAGAAAT